GTTTCTGTATGAGAGCAGTTTCAAGGTACATTTTAGAACGTGGCATTCAGAACACTGTCAGGAGTTTAGTGGGGTTGTAGATGGGGATAGAACATGAAGTTTGCATCATATGTGAAGCATGTGTTGCAAGGAGTTCTATTTTTGTGTATGAGGGAAACACAGAACACTGTCAGGAGTTTTGTGGGATTGCAGATGGAGATAGGACATGAAGTTTGCATCATTTGTGAAGCAGGTGTTGCAAGGAGTTCTATTTTTGTGTATGATTGTTGGTTGGTTGGTTTGTTGTTTAACGCTGCACTCAGCAATATTCCAGCTATATGACGGCGGTCTGTAAATAATCGAGTCTGGACCAGACAATCCAGTGATTGATATCATGAGCGTCGATCCACGCAGTTGGGATCGATGACATGCATCAACCAAGTCAGCGAGCCTGACAACCCGATCCCATTAGTCGCCTTTTACGACAAGCATAGTCGCCTTTTACAGCAAGCATGGGTTGCTGAAGACCTATTCCACCCCGGAATCTTCACGGGTCTTTTTGTGTATGAGAGAATCACAGAACACTGTCAGGAGATGAGTTGGGAATTAGATGGGTTGCAAGGAATTTGTGTAATACTCAGTACATCTGAGACAGATTAGGTGAGAACACCATGTGCTGATTTAGCACATCAGACAAAGCGGTCAGAACACCAGGTGCTGATATGTACATTTAAGACAAAAAATAAATACCCAAAAAGTTTTACCTGTACCCCTCCATACACACGTTTGATATCTTAATTGCATAATGTAATAATCATTCAAAATCTATCCGTATTCATATACAAAGCAATGAAACTACATCTTGTGTAAATCACCTAAACATTTTGTATTATAATGTTTCTCTCTCACTGTATACTCTTTAATGTATAATGGGCCTGTGGCCTACAATACATAATGAATAAAGACTAAAGAATTAGCACATCAAACACTGCGGTCAGAACACCAGGTACTGACTCAGCACATCTGACACTGGTCAGAACACCAGGTGCTGACTCAGCACATCTGACACTGCAGTTAGAACACCAGGTGCTGACTCCCACATCTGACACTAGTCAGAACACTAGGTGCTGACTCAGCACATCAGACACTGGTCAGAACACCAGGTGCTGACTCAGCACATCTGACACTGCAGTAAGAACACCAGGTGCTGACTCCCACATCTGACACTAGTCAGAACACTAGGTGCTGACTCAGCACATCAGACACTGGTCAGAACACCAGGTGCTGACTTACCACATCAAACACTGCAGTAAGAACACCAGGTGCTGACTCAGCACATCTGACACTGGTCAGAACACCAGGTGCTGACTCAGCACATCTGACACTGCAGTAAGAACACCAGGTGCTGACTCAGCACATCTGACACTGGTCAGAACACCAGGTGCTGACTCAGCACATCTGACACTGGTCAGAACACCAGGTGCTGACTCAGCACATCTGACACTGGTCAGAACACCAGGTGCTGACTTACCACATCAAACACTGCAGTCAGAACACCAGGTGCTAACTCAGCACATCTGACACTGGTCAGAACACCAGGTGCTGACTTACCACATCAAACACTGCAGTCAGAACACCAGGTGCTGACTCAGCACATCTGCGGTGGTCAGAACACCAGGTACTGACTCAGCACATCTGACACTGGTCAGAACACCAGGTGCTGACTCAGCACATCTGACACTGGTCAGAACACCAGGTGCTGACTTACCACATCAAACACCGCAGTCAGAACACCAGGTGCTGACTCAGCACATCTGACACTGGTCAGAACACCAGGTGCTGACTTACCACATCAAACACTGCAGTCAGAACACCAGGTGCTGACTCAGCACATCTGCGGTGGTCAGAACACCAGGTGCTGACTCAGCACATCTGCGGTGGTCAGAACACCAGGTACTGACTCAGCACATCAGACACTGGTCAGAACACCAGGTGCTGACTTACCACATCAAACACTGCAGTAAGAACGCCAGGTGCTGACTCAGCACATCAGACACTGGTCAGAACTCCAGGTGCTGACTTACCACATCAAACACTGCTGTAAGAACACCAGGTGCTGACTCAGCACATCTGATACTCAACTAATGGAAGTCAGAACATCTGTCGTATGAGGGTAATTTTAAAGTATTTTGTAAATTTGTGAATCTATGCCACACTGATTGTAACATGTAACGTAATGGTTCTGAGCGAAACTATACCAGTCTCTAATAAATCATCATATCTTCCAATGTTATTGTGTTGTGTTTGACGGATGAGAGCACTGCCTAATGTACTTAACAAACATTTTGAACAATTTTGAAAGTTGATGTATGGAGTTCAACATTCTATTCTTCAATGCGATGTTACAATACAGACGCTGGTATCTTTATCAAGAAAGTGTCACTGGATCCAAAGCAACCTGTGCTTGTCATAGGAGGCGACTAAAAATGGATACCGTATTCGACATAATAAGCGCCCAGGGCGCTCTCAAAATTAGAAATAGGGGGCTCTTATTAGAATGTTATTTTGGTGGAAGAAACAGAGTTGAAAGATAAATTTCGTGGTTTATGCTGACGGCCTCACTGTTTATATATGACAGACATATTTTTCAAGAATTAAATTGCCCAAAATTAAGGGTGCATATAACACACGAGTGCGTACTATACATGAATAGGGGCAGGCGGGTAGCCTAGTGGTTAAAGCGTTCGCTCGTCACGCCGAAGACCCGGGTTCGAATCCTGACATGGGTACAATGTGTGAAGCCCATTTCTGGTGTCCCCCGCCGTGATATTGCTTGAATATTGCTAAAAGCGGTGTAAAACCATACTCACTCACTCACTCACTATACATGAATAAATAAGTCTTGTGTACATTGATCAATCAGAACGAATGCTAATTGGGATTGTTCACTTGACAATATATATTAGCAAATATCGCTGTGGGCGTTTATTAGAGCGAGGCGCTTATTACGTCAAATACGGTAAGGTGACTCTGTGGCTTGGTTGTGTGTCATTGTACTCCGATGATACAAGACATTGCTCATTATATCAAGTACTAGTTTGTATTATCCATACTGACTGCCTCCATGGTCTAGTGGTAGAGCGTCTGCCCAGAGATCGGAAGGTCCGAGGTTCGATCCCTGGCCACGTCATACCAAAAGACGTTAAAAGATGGTACTTCTTGTTACCCTGTCTGGCGCTCGGCATTAAGGGGCTAAAACAAGGACTGGTCGGTTCGGAGTCAGTATACTGTGTCTGAGTGGGATATTCATGTTTAACTGCGGCATGGTATCTCTGAGCTAGCACTATATATCGGCATCCGTCCGGACTAGTACAAGCAGCCACACAAACACACACACTAGCAATGGTACTAAACACCCTAAATGACCTACAAACCTTTAAAGCACTAGGCGTATATCTAATCAAAACAGGACTACTTGGCCGCATTTAAAAAAAGTACAAGAAACAAGCTGCCAATAAACCCAAAAATTGTAAACCTGTAAACAAACAAACTCCATTAAGGTCCACCCCACCCCCACCCCCACCCCCAACCTCCTCCCCTCATCCACCTTTTGCATGGCATATTTCAAAATTCCAAATTTGTTCTCCAGATTAAGTAAACAACCCTAAAAGCCCCACCTAGGTTGCCTCACCTTTTCGGACATACACTTTTCGACTAAACACTAAATAGCCTGGCGGGCCCGTGCGTGAAATAAGCATATGTCGGAAAGCACACGTTAAATTCTCAATTCATGTAAGTAAGCGATGAAAATCAGGGGAGAGAGAGAGAGAAAGGTCTTACCCTCAGCCTAGCTAGGGTGAGGCTGGGTGCTCCGGGGCACCTAGACAACAACCACTACCACTCTGTACTGATCTGGCACATAGTGTCTTTTGTATGTACGTATGTATATATATCTACATGTATAAAGTAAAATTGTATATACCGCAAGCCATCGTCTCCAAGTTGTCACTTCCTACTGAGAACCATACGCCGACCCCTTGCATATACGAGTCTGCAAATCATTCATTAGCAACATCACATCTGTCTGCAATGCACATGCACCAACACGTTGTTAGTATGTTAAACAACAGACAAACAATATAAATGAAGCACAAACATGTTGTTTACATCACATACAGGACTTATTTTTACTTCGGGGCCTTCGCTTGCTGAGGACAGCAGGTTTGAACATAAGTGCATTTGAAGGAATAGCAATTATGACAAAGATATCATAAAAAACTAAAATAAACAGTTTTATATTTCCATGCAATCCTATCTGATGGAGATTCCATGCGAATCTGTTGATTCTGGAAGTTGATTGGTTGGTTGGTTTGTTGTTTAACGCTTCACTCAGCAATATTCCAGCTATATGACGGCGGTCTGTAAATAATCGAGTCTGGACCAGACAATCTAGTGATTAATATCATGAGCATCGATCCACACAATTGGGAATCAGCAGACTATATTGTGTATGGTTGATGTATTTATCTATAAATTTGCATAATGACCTGTAATTACAGAATGGGGTCATGGAGAAATGTCAAAAATAACCTTCATCATTATACTATATGTGACAAAAATTTGCTTTGCTCAGAGTCAGTTAAAAACAGATATTGAGTTCACCAACCTCGATTCTACAAGTGTTAGAAGATTGTGAAGCATTTGACACTGTATTGTTAAATGATTACACACGGGAACAAGGTACCAAGCTATGAAATAGAAGGATTCATTCTTTAAGATGCATACACATTTTCTGCATGCCAACGAATGCACTCTGTATTGGTTTTGCGGCCCTTTTGAATGTTTTATGCATATATGATGCATAATTTCGCGTCAGGTAAAAATCCCTGCCACTATGTGCACTGACGCTCTTTTGTTCTTCGACAGACGCTCTTCCTCAGAGGATAAAATAATGAAAATAGTTAACAGGAAAATAGCAGATGCGTGATTACTGTTAGACTCCTTACTGCGGCGGTTTTGCACCCTACACGTTGATTGTTGTTACACATACAGTGTAGTAGAGCTCCAATGTTAATTGCGCCCGACAAGAAAATTGAGCGAGCAGTGTGCCCAAATCCTGAAATTACCGGTGAACCATTTCAGTATTGCAAATATTTATTTCGTAGATCAATCGATTACTACACCGTTAGATGCACGTGTTGGTTTGTAACAGCATCGAATGAACACAGCATCGTCTTTTCATGTGATAAGATGACGCGGATGTGAACCGGAAATGCGAAAAGATTAGGTTAGCGTGGGAGATGTCGGCACCCGCTTTTTTATTTGCGAAGATTTCACACGAACGCTAGAAAAACAACGTTACAGATTCACTTTGAGCGTGCATCAGTGAAGATTAAGGGACACGGTGTTATAAACTCTGTTCAATCAAAATGTTTATCGAAACGCTAGAGTTCACAATCCCGATAGATTTGTGTGACCTATTTTCCACTTTGAAAAAGGGTCCAAGATCTAATCTTGAATTCCCGGCATCCGTGAATTCGTACGGCACAACGCAAGATGCTAATATTCAAGTTGCTTTAAGATCAAACAAATTGACGTTCAAAGTGGACGGTGTGTCGTCAAATTCAAGCATGATATCAAAGAGTGAATGCAAGACATTGAAATTGTCTGTATTCGATGTGGACTGTTCATTGTCTGGTGCAGAATACGAACAAGTGACACATATGGTTTCACAGCCAATTTATTCAGCCCCACATGTTGTACCTGCAAAAAGATCTCGAGATCGTCCATCACCGATGAAATCCCCTCCATCCAAGTCTAGCCGAAGTTCTTTCCAAGAGACAATAAAACATGAAAACATTCCTCGACAGTCACCGGACCCATTGCAATCAAGATCAATGAGTGAAACAGTGAGTGTGAAAGTGGAACCAGATTTAATAGAAATTGAACCTGATTCGGAACACTATGGAGATGAATCAAATCAAAGCATAGACAGAAGACATAATACGCAAGCAGCATTAGATAGACTCTCTCATCCACAATCATCACATTCTCAATCATCAGCATCTTCATCCTCATCCTTCCATCAAAACGTTCCACATGTGCCAGATTACGCCGAACCCAGTACTAGCCAAGATCATCATGGTGACCAAAATGTCGATGACTACGTAGTGTACCAACAAGAAGATGATGATTATGGTGAAGAAAATGATAACAGCGCTGATTTCGGAAATGATGGTAATTATTATTTTCTACATCTTTCTTTGTGGGAATTGCTGATTATTTCCAATTTCTGTGAAGAATTGAATGCAGAGGAGTATGCAAGGAAGTCGGTACTTGGCCATTCTGCTGTATTAACTCTGAAGGGGTAAAACTAAGTTTGAAGTGATTCACCACAGACAAGTACACAGCACTATTAAAATTGATACTCCACTGGGGCCTATTGAGCGATATGATACAAAAATTGAAAGTAGACTGTAAGCACAATAGTAGGGCCTACACTATGCGTGTAAAAACCTGTAAGCCAATCTCTTCCTTCATCACTTACCACCAAAAAACAAATGAAAAATCTTAACTCCATTCAAAGTTAACTTTGAACCTGAATAAGGATTTCAATTCGAAAAGAGGAAATGGTACTTTGTGGGTAGTGAAGTCTTGTTTTCGTTCTGGAATCTCTTCAAAGTCTCTGAAAAAATGTAAAATAAATAGTATATTAGTTTATTTCATTAAAATTGGACACTTGAAATGTTGAAGATTTCCTTTTAAGGACTCAATTTATTAAACATACGCTCAAAGAGATCAAAAGATCTTACTAATTTATGTCCATTCACAAAAAATACATGTAACCACAATATATTATATTATAACATATACATGATATATACTTGTATATATGTGTCATTTTTTAAATCATATTTTCAATGAGTCATTTGACAAAGCATGTTTCTATCAGTCACTACTGACTAGTTTATTCTAAAACATCCAATGGACTTTGACATAACCTCTTTATTTTTCATTTTAATATTGTTCCACGATAAAACAATGTCAACAATTTCATTAGGCTGTGAGCAATGTTTACATTTGGAAATAACCAGCAATTCCATGTAAAACAGTGTTTGATCATTTGATTTTCTAAAAAGTCATCTTTACATGGTAAGTCATCAGTGTTAGTTTCAAATACATATGCTGATGAAGTTCTGTGGAATTATTCATTATGATCTGGAAAAGACCCATATAATTTGAAATCCTTACTAGTCAATGACACATACCTTTGTTAACAGTACATAGTCATCATACCATGCATACTTTCTCGAATTTAAATTTATGTTTTCACAAAAAACCCAATTTAAATGTTGAGTGACATGAATGATCAAGCACTGTTTGACACTCCCAGATACTAACTTGTGCACTACATCATGTACTTTGTGTTGCTATATTTATTCTTAAGAAAATAAGGAAAACCACTTGTTATGTTTAATACACAAGCACATTTCTCATTTAAAGTGACAAGATTGATAACAAATGCATCTGTTGAATTGATATGATGCACAAGAAATGAAAAACACTTTCGTAATTTGAATATTGATAAGCATGATAAGAGATACTATCTCATCTTTAAATATTGACAGTTTATTCACCTGATTCATGATTCTTTAGTTTCTAAATTGATTAGAAATTTGATCCATCTTGTCACTTGCCATGTTGACACACCCAGTGCCACAGTACAGCGATGAAGGGGGCGTGGTTCCTGACATCACAAGGTAAGTCCACACACTGGCTTCCTGATTCAACTGTGGCCTGGGCTAGGACGTCTCAAGCTCATCAACAATAGTCCAGGTCGAAAACATTGGTAAAATACTGCAAAATAAGTTCTGAATTTTCATCCTGCCTTGGACAACAGGATGATAAGAAATAAATATAAGAAGTAAAAAGAGAAGTAAGCTTTGTATTCTGACAGGTATACAACTTGGCACTAAGACACTAGCCTTAGTGACATTGTCTGGACAGCTACTGAAATTTAAGACAGTTTTAGGGGGTGTCTTAACATGTGGTGACTATGCAGACGAGTGAATGTTTCAGGACAAGTTGAATCCCAGATTCAGTTGTAAAAGTGGTATCTGTGTGATGAAATTGGTATTGTTGTGACAAGTTCTGCTTTGTAATCCATTGTCTCTCAACACGATCAGTGCCCGACATGAGGGCTGGGACGAGTCCAAATTTACTACCTGTGTACTCACCCCTCTATAACCCGACCCTACCCGGGTACTCACTGTAGGTCTCAAGAGATAAGTACAAAATGTCTGATTCGGAAACATATTTAGATACATCAGAGCTCGAGATAAGCTGCGTATCTGCGTAAAATATGCATCAGAAATGCAGAAAATCCAAGCGTATCAAATACGCAGCGAACATTACAGATACGCTACAAAAATAAAACGTGCGTATCATCAATCAATATTGTGAAGTAACCCTGCATATTCGATTAGCAAATCAGCAACTTATTTTGAAATTATAACCGGGCATTCCGTCAACCTTGCCAAACTCCACGATGACAGTTACATCATGATCATTTGCCATCACACTTTCTTGTGGAAGTATCGTGGTATTTTTGAGTCCCTATAAAGCTCTTGAACCCACACGACACCAGTTTGCAGGGACTTGATGAACAGTGTTTTTAAATATTTAACTTAAATACCCGCATGTGTGAAAACTAGTGGGTAACAGAAATTTGAATACCCAGATAGAATTACTGATACCCAATGATTTTTAAAATGCATGGGTAAAATACCCACAACACCAAAATCTTATCTGGAGCTCTATACATGTATCCAACAATCTTGTCATGCATACACTGAAGTTGACTTAAGGTTTATCTTCATTCAGCCAAATGAAAAGTCAGAAGGAATGGGTTCATATTCAGAAAGAAATGTGAACATTTGTGACTTGTATTGTAACCATAGAGTTCTAGATAATGTTTGTCTTTAAACAATATATCACGTGACTGACCACGGGTCCGGGTAGTCCTGTGGGTACCGGGGTCCTACTCAGTACCCACTCGACCCGGGTACCCGAGTTACCCGTCCCAGCCCTACTAGACATGGCTACTAGAGTTGTCTTCATGACTGAGACTTTTGAGTCCATGGTTGTCTTCAAACTGTTGTGATGTTGGATGAACCACAAGTCCGTAATTAATTGTGAACGAGTTGGAATAAACTGGTGCTGTCTACCCCTGGTGAACTTTGAACTTGTTAAGCAGATTTTACCATTGTTTCTTCACCTTCTACATTGTTCGAAATTAAGGGAGCCCTGAGGTCTTCTATGTGCCACTGGGCTGCTAGTACATACCACGCCCGGCTACAAAATGGCGCCAAACGTTGGGCGCCAATGTAGCGGCCATAAAATTTCCGAGTCCCATGATGGCATTCAAACCACGGACCTTCTGATCAGAGGTCGGGCGCCTTGTCCACATGACCAAAGAGGTTAACCCCGTCAGCAAGCTGACAAGGTAAGGATGTCATCTGTGGGATGACTCCATGCCCTGCTACATATGGTGTAGGAATCTAGGGACCCCATTAACCTTTAAAGTCAGGGTTATTACAAGGACTGTCTTGCTTAATTTCGAACACTGCTGCACATACACCACCACACTTACAGTAGACTGTTTAATGTGTCAAACTATTTGGCCTGAATTGTTTAATAGGCATTACTAAGAAGTTGACTGATGACAAAGTAGATACAATTTATGGATAACAACTTCTTTAATTACTGTAAAGGCGATGTTTCGGTATAGATCCTTATAATATTGCTTGACAACGGTAAAAGGATCTACACCAAAACATCGCCTTTACAGTAATTAAAGAAGTTGTTATCCATAAATTGTATCTACTTTGTATTGGACCTGATTAACAGGTGTGTTGTTGAATGAAACTCGGTACAGGTACAGAACTGTGAGAAAATAACTCTACCTAACGAGGTGAAGATGGTTTGCCTTGTGTTTGAGGTGGCCTGAAGGCTAGCCTTTTGCACTTGTGTTATCATTACTGGGGCTAATGCAGGGGTCAGATAGGATGGATGGGGCAATGAAAGTGCTTGAAAGGTCTATGCAATACATTGAAAGCATAGTGCTTTAACTCAAAGAAAAAGTCATGTTTGTATGTAGACCAGGAACAGTAGCAGAAAGATGACTATTAATTTTTGGGATTCTACCACTACCTGAAACTTGTATTCATGCATTGGACTATCATTTATTGTTACAAGCGAATTGCTTAATTTGCTGTTACGACCAGGTTGTATTTGAAGGAAAATGAAATGACGAAGGTCAAGTCAGCAATTACAGATAGGCCATGTGGGAATAAAAAACACCAGTAAATGGTAATGTAGTTTTGCTTGTGCAGTAATAAGTAGTCATGATTCCTGCTTACTTAAGTAGTAAATTGTGATGGGATTTCTGCTTACCCAAGCAGTACACGATGATGTTATAACTGCTTATCTAAGCTGTAAATGGTTCTTTGATTCCTGCTTACTTACTTAGAAAGATATGCGATTATTGCTTACCTGAGCAGTACTGCCAGTCGACGATGATGTGGTTTTTGCTTTTTAGAGCAATAATTTATATATGATTTCTGCTTACCTAAGCTGAGTAAAACAAAAGGACTCGAGGTGCCTCATTCTACAATGTATCCTTATTTCTACTTGTTGAGAAGGTACCATGGTCAGGTATGTCGTGTCTTGATTCAACATGTGCGCTGCGCACATTTGGAGACTGCACAACCTAATTTTGAATGTTTTTGGAAATGTATGGAAACTTACTCGATTTCATCGAGAGGAAACATGAGGATGTGTTCCATAGAGACATCCAGCCATACAAACTAACATTTTTAGTCCACTAGTCCTTATATCAACATATAGCAAAACCCCGAAAGGCAAGTTTCAGCTAGCACTTATGATACCTTAACCAATTTCTGTCACTGTTAAAATGAGATTGTTGAATGGCCTCGTTGTTGGAGCTATCTCTTTTATATGGGGATTGTTGAATGGCCTCGTTGTTGGAGCTATTGCTTTTATATGGGGATTGTTGAATGGCCTCGTTGTTGGAGCTATCTCTTTTATATCGGGATTGTTGAATGGCCTCGTTGTTGGAGCTATTGCTTTTATATGGGGATTGTTGAATGGCCTCGTTGTTGGAGCTATTGCTTTTATATGGGGATTGTTGAATGGCCTCGTTGTTGGAGCTATTG